GATGCGCCAGGCGGCACGCTTGGAGCCCACCAAGGTGCGAGCCGGCAAGCAAGCGCGGAGGAAGCAGGGACGCAATGAGCAGGACAGGCTCACCCGCGCGCTGCTGACCCGCAAGCACAAGAGCAGCTTGCCCCTGGCACAGCAGACGGCGGCAGCAGAGCGCAGCGACCCCTTGCCCACCCTTCGCCAGAAGGACAAGTCGGCAATGAAGGTGAGGGGCTGGGAAGTCGAATGGCGGCAACATCGTGGCTGTGGCGGAGGTCCCGCCCTTGTGCAAACATGCTGCATACTTGCATGTCCGTGCAGATGCGTGGTCCCACGGTGCCTGGTAATCGAAATGGTACCACACTCCGCAACAACGGCTCGCATCATCGGGTGCAGAAGAAGCGCCGCACAGAGGCGGCAGTGGGGGCGGCGGTGTAGCGGCGGCCACTCCTGCGCATCGGAGGCAACAATTCAGCGTTCGCTGAAGCGCAGACACCTGCTAGGGAGGCTCCTGCAGAGCTGGCGGCTCAGCAAGCATTCCAGGCTTCAAGTATGTGGCGTTGTCAGGGCGCCTGCTCACTTCACATCACCCAGTACGCACCTGGTAACATTTTGGGAAGCGTGCACGCAAGGAGAGAGGGTGAAAGAGGCTGGGCCAACCATCACCCCTTGCTGGGACGCTCAGGTGCGCGCCATTGGCGCTGGTGGCACCATAAAGACACGAGGAAATGTATGTAGGCCACGGGAGAGGGCGGGAGGGATGTGGAAGAGGCGAGCACAGGGCTCCGCAATTGCCAATTGCTTGTGTGAGCCCCTTGGGCGCCCCACAGAGCGTCGAATGAACCCATTGTGAGTGCTGGGGGGTGGGTTATGAGAGCCGCAAGCGGGCATGCATGCATCTGGCCACCTGGGCCTTACTGAGGCCAGGGTGGAAGGGGCCGTGGTGCCTTATTTCACCGTGTCCTCATCCCTATTGCGTCTCTGATCCCTCATTGCTTGTCTGCACTGTTAGACGACACATCCATCGCAGGGGTTTTGTTGCGGCCTCTCTCCGATCGCCCCATCACCCGCGTTCCCCCTGCGTGCCTCTGCCGTGTCGCCCAGCTATGGCGTGGTTACGTGGAGTGGTCAAGGAGGTTTTATCCGGCGACACGGTGGTGGTAGCAGCGGCAGCCAAGCCCGGCCAGTTGCCGGGCGCCGAGAAGAGGCTCACCCTCTCCAGCGTGCTGGCACCCAAGCTGGTGAGTGGCTGAGGGTTGCGGGGTGCACCGATCGCGGTTGCCGAAGCGTGCCACACCCGCTCCAGCAGTGGCAGCTGTTGACTGGGGCGCTGGAGGGCTGCCGAGGCAGCAACGGGCTTGATGTGGGCGATGTAGCAGGCACCGGGGTGTGTTCAGCGGGCTGCGCCGCCAGCGGCCACATGCGCCACCCACCGCCTGCTCCGTGCACTGCAGGGCCGCCGCGACGGCTCCACCCGCGACGAGCCCTTTGCCTGGCAGTCCCGCGAGTTCCTGCGCAAGCTCTGCGCGGGCAAGGTGTGTGCTGGGCGGGTTCTGCACTAACCGACTGGCGGCAGCGGGGCGGCGGCAGGAGAAGCAAGGTGAAGCTGGACTGAGCGAGGCCGCCATGAGTGCGCTCCCCTCCTCCCCCCTTGCAGCCCTGCGTGTTCCGCGTGGACTATGTGCTGGAGCAGGCGGGGGGCAAGGAGTTTGGCAGCGTGTTTGTGAACGAGAAGGAGAACGCGGCACTGAGCCTGGTGGCGCAGGGCTGGGCCAAGGTGCGGCCGCCCAGCGACAAGCAGAGCCCGTTCTATGAGGAGCTGGCCAGGGCGCAGGCGGATGCAGAGGCCAAGGGGCTGGGGGTGCACACAAAGGACAAGGATGCGGCAGCAGCGGCCGTGCGTGACGTCCTCGCAGCTGACGGTACGTGCTCTGGGGATCGCGCCATCGAGCTGAGGAACCACTGCTGCTGCGGATCGCGGCAGTGCTTGTTGCAGACGACGTGTCCGCCTGGGGATTTTATAGCCTTGTGTGGCCTGCCTGCCTACCTGCCTGCAGAGTTTGATACCCAGGGCCTGCTGTCGCGTGTGGGCAAGGGCAAGCCGGTGTCGGCCATCGTGGAGCAGGTCAGCAGCGGCAGCATGCTGCGCGTCACGCTGCTGCCGGAGCTGCAGAGCGCGACGGTGATGGTGGCGGGCGTGCAGTGCCCCAGCATGGGCCGCCGACCGCCGCCCACTGCGGCCCCAGCCGCGCCTGCGGCTGACGGAGAAGAGGCAGCCGCCACGGGGCCTGCCGCCGGCACTGCGGCATCGCTGGTGGCGGCAGGCACCTCAGCGCCCTCGGAGGTGCAGGCGGAGCCGTTTGCGCGGGAGGCGCGCTATTTCACAGAGCTTCGCACTCTGAACCGGGAAGTCAAGATCGTGCTGGAGGGCGTCAGCCAGGTGTGTGGGGGGGTGGCGTCTTGAAGCGGTTGGCTGCAGCCTGGGGATGAGGAGGGCAATTGGGGCTGAGGGTGCGCCGGAGTGGGTGGGGGGCAAGCAGAGGCACGAGCAGCATGCTCCCTCCTCCAACCAGCGTTGCAAGGCACCGAACGAAATCTTCTTCCCTGCTCCACTGCGTGCAGTTTGGTGTGCTCGTGGGCAACGTGCAGTTCCCGCCGCCCGCCTACGCTCCGGCAGCGCCCGCGGCCGCCGCCGCCAACGGCACGCCTGCCGCGGCGGCGCCGGCCCCGGAGCAGGACCTGGCCACAGCCCTGATCAAGGCGGGGCTGGGCCGCACAGCGGAGTGGGGCCTCAACATGATGACTACAGGCGCCTTCAAGCTGCGCGAGCTGGGTGCGCTCTGCAGCGGTCGACTGTGCTGTGCCGGGTGCAGGGAATTGCCTGCATCGTGAGCTGGCGCTGCCTGGATTGAATAGTTTGCCGTGTGCTGGTATTAGCGCGCTCGGGCACTGCACCAAACTGCTGCTGCTGGCCCGTGCATGCAGAGCGGGCGGCCAAGCAGGCCAAGGTGGGCATGTGGCACAACTATGTGCCCCAGCCCGGGAACTCCGCTAAGCTCAGGTGAAGGAGGGCGATTTGGGCGTGGCTTGCTGATCCCTGCTGCCGCCATTCCTCATCCCCACGGGTGTGCTGGACAGAGCAATGTGGGGCACGAGCAGCTGGTGTCTGAGCATTTCTTTTCTTTGCCCCCCCTGCCCGCAGCGACAAGTTCACCGGCATCGTGTCTGAGATTGTGTCTGGCGACTGCCTGGTGGTGAAGGACAAGGCGTCAGGTGAGGCAAGGTGCAGGGGGCGGGTGGCAGGCACTGTGCTGCTGCATCTCGTTGAGGCTACGCAAGCCAGCGCTGTGCCCTGGATCGCCTGGCGCACACGCCCAGCTTGCCTGCCTGCCTGCCTGCCTGTTTGGCAGGCGTGGAGCATTTTTAGGGTTTTAGGGTTTAGGGTTTAGGGTTTAACCCTAAAAAAGCGCATCAATCTGAGCAGCATCCGCGCGCCGCGCATGGGCACGCGGGAGCGCGCCCCGGAGCCCTGGGGCCCAGAGGCCAAGGAGTTCCTCAGGTGCGGCCTGGCTGGAGGGAGTGGTGTGGGGTGCGCGCATGCTGAGCCGCTGGCATACCTGCTGCGGCGTGTGTGGGACAGGCGGGCTAGCTGGTCCGGCAGCTGAGCTGGCTGTTTGGCTGTGGCACCTGAGCTGGTTGTTTGGCCGTGGTGCAGGCAGCGGCTGATTGGCAAGGAGGTGTCTGTGAGCATGGAGTACAACCGCAAGGTGCAGCCCATGATGGGGGAGGGCGCGGGGCGGCCCGGAGAGGAGCGCACCATGTCGTTCGCCACAGTCACCGTCACCGAGGGCGCCGGCGGCGAGCAGAAGGTGCGGCGGCGGCAGCAGGGTGGGCAGGCATGGTATAGCAAGGCGGCAGCCTTTTCGTTCGTCACATGCATCACTCGTTCTGCTGCCGGCCTTACCGAACCACTGGCTCTGACTCTGTCTGCTGTGCTGCTCTTTCCCGCAGGTCAACAATGTGGCGGAGCTGCTGCTGGTGCGCGGCCTGGCGCAGGTGGTGAAGCACCGCGGCGACGAGGAGCGGTCAGGCACGTTGCATGCTTGGGGTTGCACCTGATGCTGCCCTGCTCGACCGCCGTCCCAGCCAGCCTGCCTGCCAGCGCCTCCCATTCCCCATCTCACCTGCTCCTCGTGCCCCTGGACTCCCGCCCCACCGCCCTGCAGCGCACTACGAGGACCTGATGAATGCCGAGGTGCAGGGCAAGTCTGGGAAGAAGGGGCAGTGGAGCAGCAAGGAGCCGCCCAAGCCACACGTCAACGACGTCTCGCTGCCGGGCACCTCGTCCAGGTCAGGACAAGGAGGCTGCCGGGCAGCTGGATGGGGCTGTTGGGCAGCTGGTTGGGGCGCATGGTGCACACATTGGGTGGTAGCTGGGGTGCCGTGCTCCTGCCCCAACGTGGCTGCCCACCGTCCCCCAACCTCCCAATCCCCCCACAACCGCGCCCCTACGCCGCAGGGCCAAGCAGCACCTGCCCTTCCTGCAGCGCGCGGGCAAGCTGGCGGCGGTCTGCGAGTATGTGCTGAGCGGGCACCGCATCAAGCTGTACATCCCCAAGGAGGGCGTCACCATTGCCTTCAACCCCAGCGGCGTGCGCTGCCCGCAGCGTGGCCAGGCCGCGGCGGCAGGGCGCCCCGCAGTGGAGGTGCGCTGCTTTCCGCCTGGCGCAGGGATCGGGAGGAGTGGGTGGGTTTGCCAGCTGCGCGTTGGCATGTGCGACCTGGCCTCACCCTGCCTGGCATGGACAGCCGCGCCTCACCCTGCCCTGCCCGCCATGCTGCCTCACAGGAGGAGCCGTACTGGGAGGATGCGCTGCGGTTCACACGCGACAACTGCCTGCAGGTGTGGTGCTGTGGTGGTGCTGGGTGGTGGTGGTGTGTGCGTGGGGTGTGTGTGTTCTGGGATGGTGGCCTGCGCCAGGCGCACGACCAACAGCGTACGGCTGCTGCGGCCGCGTGTCGGCCATGCCCTCACCCCTCCTCCTGGGCCGCCCCTCTTTCAGCGCGACTGCGAGGTGGAGGTGACCAGCGTGGACCGGGTCGGCAACTTCCAGGGCACCGTGCGCTTCGGGCGGCTCAACCTGGGAGGTGAGCCGGGGCAGTACTGCCGGGCAGTATCGGGCAAGATTCGTGCCGGGCAGTATCGGGCATGGGTCGTCGGTCGATGCCGAAAGCTGAGAGGGCTTGGTGTGCCTGCTGTGCCTGCAGTGGCGCTGCTGGAGGCCGGCCTGGCCAAGCTGCACCCCTCCTTCGACCCCTACTCCACGCCCGGCGGCAAGGAGCTGGAGGCGGCGCAGGCCAAGGCCCGCAGCCAGAAGCTCAAGGTGGGGGCAGTTGGGGGAGCGGGGTGCATGCGCAGGAATGCTGCAAGGCGGTGGTCAGCTGTGCTGCTACGGCCGACCGCGCCTGCTCTCCCCCGGATGTATGTGTGGCCAGTGTAAGGCTGTAACCTCCCCGGCTGCCCTGCCTCCTGCGCTGTGTCATGGTGCAGGTGTGGGACAAGGACGAGCCCGAGGCGGCAGCGCCCGCGGAGGAGGAAGGGGAGGGCGGCAGCGGCGCGACGGCCAACGGCGGCTCCGCTGAGCGCGAGCACTTTGATGTGGTGGTGTCAGATGTCACAGACGCCAACGCGCTCTACGTCCAGGTTGGTTGCCTGGCTGCGGGGAGGTGGCTGGATGGGCCCTGGCCACTGCTGCGTTTAGCTGGGTTTCAAAGCGGGGCCGGCCTGGCGTGTTCAGCCGGCTGGGCTTTCTGGCTGGCGCCTGACTGCTTCTCCCCTGCTACCCGCGGCAGGTGGCCGAGGAGCCGCGCGTGACCTGGGTGGCAGAGCAGCTGGCGGGGCTGTCGCTGGAGGGGGCGCCGCCGCCGGCGGTGAGCAGCCGAGCCGCCGCACCTGCCTGCCTGCCTGCCTGCACTAGCCTGTGTGCTGTGGGGGCCAGCTGGGACTGCGCGCGCACTCGTGAGCTCACCCTGCCCTCCTGCCATGCCCAACCGTGCTGCGCAGGCGCCGCTCAAGGCCGGGGACAAGTGCCTGGCACAGAGCGGTGCGGACAAGCAGTGGTACCGCGCCGCCGTGGAGCGCGCCTACGTGGCAGACCCGGTGCGCTGGCAGCGCGGCTTCATGTGCAGGGCCCGCTGCGCCCACACCATGTGCACGATATGCCAATCGCAGTCGATCGACGGCAAATGGAAAGCCTGCTCCCGCCACTCACACCGCACCACCCCCTGCTCCTTCCCTCGCAGACCGCTCCCAAGTATGACGTTCTGTTCATGGACTTTGGCAACCGGGAGCACATCACAGCAGCGCAGGTGGGCTGGCGCAGGGGCATGGGCAGTGGCGGCACAGGCAGGTCCATTCTTGTGGGGCGGCATGGCGGGCATTTGGCTGCTTGCTGCAGCGGCTGAATATGCTTGCTTGACTGCATGCGTCTCTCATGGTGCCTGCCTGGTTGAGCCGCAGGTGCGGCCGATGCCTCCGGCGCTGGCGGCGGTGCCCGGCCAGGCGCAGCAGGCCTGCATCGCCTTTGTCAAGGTGCGATCCCGGCTGCTGCTGCTGCAGCTGCTGCTGCTGCTTCTCCAGCGCATCCCTTCCAGACCTGCATGTGCATGCTGTCAGCAATGGATGTGCGGGGAGCCTGGCCCTCCATGCCCCCTCCCCTGCACACCGCTGGCCCCGGCTCTCTGTGGTTGCTGCAGGCCCCGGGGGTGGAGGAGGAGCACGGTGTGGAGGCCGCCCAGTTCCTGTGGCAGCTGGTGGGAGGCAACCGGCGCCTGACGGCGTACGTGGAGCGCCGCGAGCGGCTGGTGGCCAGCGGCAAGCACTGGGGCGCGCAGGCCCCCACCAAGCTGCACCTCACGCTGATGGAGCCCGGCAACGAGGACTACAGCCGCAGCGTGGCCGGCCAGCTGCTGTCGGCGGGCCTGGCTCGGCTGGTGGAGCCCAAGGGCGCGCAGGTGGACGGGGTGGCAGCTGCCGTCAGCGCCCCCTGGTGCCATTCTGCCTACACCTCGGCATGCTGCTGCTGCCTGCTCCATGGTCTATGGCGTAGTCTAGCCTTCAGCTCCTCGTGCCCACTGCCCTCCTGCCCATGCGCTTGCAGCCTGGCGAGACGGGCGAGGTGCTGGAGGTGCTGCGCTCGTGCCAGGAGACGGCGCGGCGGCGCCACGTCGGCATCTACCAATACGGCGACCCCGGCAGCGGCGACGAGGAGGACGACGGCGGCTTCCCCGCGTTGAGCAAGCCCGGCGGGCGCGGCAAGCGCTGAGGCCGGCGGCTGCCTGAGATGGCTGGCACGCCCCAGCCGGCAGCTGCCCTCCTGATATGAAATGGCATGGCGGCAGCCGCTTTGGATCCGAGGTGGCAGCCTGAGTGAAGCCTTCCCGACAGGCTGCTACCCTCCCAGACACAAATAGTACCCCTCGAAGAGTCCCCCTTGATTTGAGAGTGGTTTGCAACAGAATCATCCAGGCAAGGGAGGCCTGTAGCTGAAGCACACGCAGCCCAGCCACAGAGGGAGCTGCTTGACAGTTACATAACAACTGTGCAGCACCGTGCATGTATGCAAAAGCAGAGCGCAAGGCTGCAAAATGAGCAGCCAGCGACAAATACAAAAAGGCAACCAAGAGCCCCCGAGGGCCACACTGGGGTGGCCCTCATGGTGTCATGCAAGGGGACAGGAGGGGAAATGCAACAGTGCCAACAGTGCAGACCGAGAGGGAAGGGAAATGGATGAGTCACATGTTTAGGATAGATTCTCTGTGCACGGCATGCGCTTGTCTGCCAAAAGGTAGAGTCACAAAAAGAGCACGGGAAGGGTTTCTCTCTTGGGGCATGCGGGTGGCAGTGAGTCTAAGCCAAGCCTGCCTACAAGGGGTCACGCAGCTGCCGCTGCTGGCGTATACTAAACACGTCATAGGCCACACCTATGACTGCCTGTTCTACAGTTATCCTGATGCTACAGTGCACCCAGCTGCTGCCGGCTGGCATCATGCCTGAGCATGTGTGGCCTGCGGCTGTGGTTGCTGCGGCGTCGGCAGCGGCCTGCTGCTATCGCCGCTGCCACCTGCCGGGGCGGGAGCAGCAGACGATGGCGCGGTGCTGGCTTGCTTGGCAGGGCCACGGCTGGGCCTGCCGCCAACACCATGCCTGCCGCCACGGCTGGGATGCCTGCCACCACTGCTGGGCTTGCCGCTGCGATCCTGCTGCTTGCCACCGCCAGCGGTGGCGCCACCATCCTGCTGCTTGCCGCCACCAGCCTTGCCGCCGCCATCCTGCTGCTTGGCCTTGCTGCCGCTGTCCTGCCTGCCCTGCTGCTTGCCGCCGGGGCGGGGCAGCCCTGGCGAGGTGCGGCGCAGGTCGGGGCCGGGCCCAGGCGCCATGCCGGGCTTAGGGTTGGCCGCCTTGGGCTTGCCCGCAATCTTGACATTGTCCGAGCCATACTGCTTGGCCAGCACAGCCATGGCCTCCTCCTCGGTTTGGATGCTCTTCAGCGACTTGCGCAGGTCGGCACGGCTCTCCTCAGGCACGTACCTGCGGGACAGAGGAGGACACAGGATGTCAGCAACAGAATGGCGCATGACACCATGCAGCAACGCAGGAATGGTAGCAGCAGGTACAAGATATGCAGGTGGCTTGCTCACCACTTGCTGTGCTGGGGCACGGGGGCAGCAAGGAAGGAGGCGCCACGGCCTGATGGCGAGGTGCCCAGCAGGCTGCCGCTGGCGGATGGAGAGGCGCCCAGCAGTGAGGCAGACGGCCCAGCGGCACCAGCTGAGCTGGCAGGCGCCTGGGGCGGGCGCCAGGGAGGCAGGCCGCCGGCCAGCCGCTGCACTGCAGGGGGCGAGGTGCCAAACGCCTTGGTGGCCGGCAGCAGCGCCTCTTGCTCCTGCTGGATCGCGCGGAACGAGGCCTGGCGGCTCGGGGGGCTGGACCCTGCTGTGCCGCCCCACGCCGCGGGCGGCGGCGAGGCGTTGTCCCGCCGCTGAGCTGGCATCGGGCTGCTGTGCATGAAGGTGGCCAGGGACATGCGCAGGGGGCCGCCCGCAGCTGCTGCAGCAACGGCAGCAGCGCTGGGCGAGTCCAGGGCCGCCCGGGCCTTGATGCCTGCAGGCACAGCGACCAGGCCAAGTCCACTTGTTCAGAAATGCACAGGCATGGTCGGTACTGGAGCAAGCTGCCACACAGACCCACCGCTAGCAGCTGCGCTTGCAGCCCACCTGAGCCAGGCGTGCTGCGCTGGGCCGAGGGCGGCTTGGCGGCGGGGCCCTGCTGCTGCATGCCCGCCGCCTCCTGGTCCAGGATCTGCTTCAGTGAGGCGGCGCCAGCCGGCGCGGCGGCCTTGGCACCCCAGGCGGGCGCAGGCATGGGCGTGCCGCCGCCGGTCCCTTCTCCCGCGGCTGGCTCGGCAGCGGCAGCATCCTGCTCCAGCTCTCCTCTCAAGAACATGGACAGCCCGCCTGCAAGGCAAAACCGCACCCAGCACCAGCCACTCAGGAAAGCTGTCGAACAGGGCATGCCACACATACACATACAGTTCTGGCAGCGCAGTGCTGGCCTCAGCCCAGCAGCCCCTGGCCCGCTCACCCTTGCGCTTGCTGGCAGACTTGGGCTTGCTGCTGCCGCCGCCAGAGGGCCGTGCCCCTGCCGGCAGCTGCTGCCCAGACTGACGCTGCGCTGCGGCGCCCACACCGTCGCTTGCAGAGCAGCTGGCAAAGCCCACAAGGCTTCTGACCTGCCCGACCGGCGCGCTGGGTGGCTCCGTGGCCGCAGCGGGCGTCCGAGGCTGCTCGTCTGGTGCCGCTGCGCTGCCAGCAGGCCCAAAGGCAGGCACCAGGCTGGAGCTGGGCGGCGAGCTGCCCAGCAGGCTGCCACTCGCCTCTGCGGCAAGGAACGGCTCCGCATCTGATGCAGCTGCTGCCACTGGTGCGGCGCTGCTGCTGCCGTCGCCAGCCACGGCATCCGGCTTGTGACAGCCCTTCTTGCCGCGGCTCTTGGCCTGTTTCCCGACGCTGGCGGGCGCCGTCGCGGCTGCGCCCGCCGCCTTGTTGCTGCTGCCGCCGCCAGAGCCCAGCCCCAGCGCCGCCTCTGGCTCCCGCCCCGCCGCTGCTGCACGCAGAATGCTCTGCACATCATCCAGCGCCATGCCTCCCTCCAGCGCAGCTGCCGCCGACTGGATCACCGGCTTCTGCTGCACCTTGGCCTGCTGCTGCGGGTCCAGGGCCGCACCCCCGGCAGCCTTGGCCTCCAGGTGCTCAATCTGCTGCAGCTTCTTCTGCAGCGTGCGCAGCAGGCGCTGGGTGGCCGCCTCGGCATCCGCCTGCGAGCGGTCGCGGAAGCTGCTGCCGCCGGCGGCCAGCGCCATCGGCTGGAAGCCCAGGCCGGCGCCGGATGCCCACAGGCCTCCCACCTCCACCCCCTCATCTCCCAGCCAGGGCGCCGCTGCGGTGGGCCGCCTGCCAGGCTGCAGCAGGCTGCCCGGCTGCGGCACCTCCTGCCGTTGCTTGCTGCCCGCCTCGGCCGCCGCACCCTCCTCGCTGGCCGCCGGGCCTGCGGGCTCGGGATCGAGTGCGCCAGCTGCCGCCGCCGCACCGCCTGCTGCCTGCGCACTGCTGCCGCTGGCGCCAGCGCCGGCCAGGCGCAGCTTGAACAGCCTCTCCAGCTCTCCCAGCAGGTGGGGAGCCAGCTCCTCAAAGGCGCCGCCCGCCTCCAGCAGCACAGCATCCAGGTTGCACACAGCCACGGCCAGGCAGTAGGCGCGCAGCACCTCCGCCCCTGCCACATCAGCATACTCCAGCACCGGCAGGCAGGTGCGCGGGTCGACCAGCCGCCGCGCCACCTCCTCCTCGCAGATGCGCTGCAGGGAGGGAACGCCGGCTGCCTCGGCGGCCCGCGAACGCCGCGGGCCGGGCCGCACGGGCGAGGGCCGGCCGGGGCTCATGCTTGCGGGCGAGTCGGCGCTGCTGGGCTCCGCCTCCAGACCCCGCGGTGTGGCCAGCTGGCCGCCGTCCATCAGGCTGTCCGCATCGGCAGCCTGCTGGAACCAACGGTCGTCGTCGGCAGCAGCCGCAGCGACTGATGCTGCAGCAGCTGGTGCGGGGTGCAGCCAGGGCACCGCCACCATGCCCTCCAGCTGCGCCGCCGACCAGCGCTGCACTGCCAGCGAGTGCTTCTCGCCCACCGCAACCGCCGCGGCACGCTTCAGCCCTTCCACCCTGCACCAGAAAGCATACCCACGCAGCATGCTGACGGCAAGGTGACACAGAGCCCTGCTGGCCCCGCTGTCTAGCACAAGTCAGCAGCCTTGCCACCTGGGACTGCCACCCAACCGATGCCAACAGCCCGGCGCCCCGTGCCAGCCCTCACCTCTCGGGCCGGACCCTCTCAAACACGTCGCTGGCGCGGCTGGGTCTAGTGCCAGACCCAAAGGACAGCTCGGGCCTGCTGGCGCTGCCTGACACGCCGTAGCTGCTTCCGGGCGCGCCGGCAGCCGCCGGCGACGTACCAAACACCGCAGAAGCCTCGCGCTCCCGCGCAAAGCGCTCGATGTAGGACCCCGGGCGGCGGGTGTGCGACCCGTAGCTTCCGGTGCCACACTCGGCCGCGCCATACCTGCTGCCCAGGGGCGCCTCGCCACCCAGGCTGATGCGCATGCCACCGCCGCCTGCCCCGCCGGGGATGGGGCGCGCCTTGGTGGCAGAGCCGCTGCTAGGCTTCTTGCTGCCACTGCCGGGCTGGCGGCCCTCTGCTGGGAAGTAGTCTGAGCGGCCCTCCCACATGTACACATCGCCCTCATCGCTCACGACCGCGGTGCGGTACTTGCCTGCAGGCCAGGGCAGAGCGGGGGAGCTGGAAGAGGCCAGGAGCGCAGGCCTGCCAGCAATGCTATGCTGCTGCGGCTCAGCAGGCACGCCTCGTCAGCCTCAGGCTGGCGAGACGATGTATGCTTGCCACCCCGCCCTCCTCACCTGCCGCGACGGAGACGACGCGCTTGCCCGCCAGCGTGCCACCAACCTCCTGCACCTGCAGTGCCGGGTCGGCCGACCGCCAGGTCAGCACCACCCCCGCCGACGTCAGCGCCGAGGAGTGGGCCGCGCCGGCACAGATGGCGGCCGCCACGGGGCGCGCCACGTCAGCATGGCCGCGGTGGAAGGTGATGGGGGCTCCCTCTGCAGACAGGGCGTCCCGTGCCCCCGCCAGCTGCACGCGCCGAGGCGACACGCCGCGGTGGCCCCAGGTGTACACCTCGCCGCTCGCAGTCAGCACCAGGGTGTGGCGCTTGGCGGCAGCGGCCGCCACCACCGCCTTGCCACGCATCGCCTCCACCAGACGCGGCGCAGCATTGGAGACTGAGTCACTGGTGCCGTAGCCCAGCTGCAGCAGCAGCAAAGCACAAGCGGGGTGAAAGCGGTGCGGATGCGGCTCGTTGAGGGGCCAGGCATCGGCTTTGCTGTTGGTCGCAGGCCACACTGCCGCTACCCCACGCACAGTGCAGGTGCCCCTGTGAAACTACAACACACCTGCCCCAGCACGTTTGATCCCCAGGTGTAGACATCCCCAGCCGCTGTGACCGCCACGCTGTGCTTGTTGGCGGCTGCCAGCGCCACCACGCGCTGGCGCAGCGAGGTCACACGCCGCGGCGTGGGCTGGCTGTCAACGGCGTACCCCAGCTGGCCGTGCCGGTTGCTGCCCATGGTGAAGACCTCGCCCGCGGTGGTACACAGCACGGTGTGGTGCTTGGCCGCCGCCACCGCCGCCACCGCGCGCCGCCCCAGGCTCGACACCACCAGCGGCGCAATCACTGCGCCCTCGCCGCTGTGGATGTGCGCATCGGGGTGGCCTGTGGTGGGGGCAGAGGTTTGGGGGGAGGGCCAGGGATGCGCATGAGCAGGCAGCAGAGGAGGCACACACCCTTGCATAGCACCTGCACCAGCCTGCCAGCGTGCACAGCAGCAGCTCTTTGCGCTGGGCTTCCCACAGCTGCCTGCCGCACTAGCCGCTGCCGCGCTCACCCAGGCGTCCGCCGCGGCCCCACCCCCAGGTTAGCAGTCGCCCATCCACGCTGACCGCCGCGGAGTGGAACTTGGCGGCGGAGATGGCTGCCACCTGCTGGTCGTGCAGGCTCTCCACGCGGGCCGGGTGCAGCTGCACATCGGTGGAGCCTGTGCCGAGGGTGTAGTTGCTGCCGTTGCCTGCAACGGGCGGCAGAGGGGCCGGGAATGGAGGTTGAGGCTGGGCCGGGGTGGCAGGCCAGCAGCCATGCAAGGCAGGCAGTGGTAGCGCAGCCACAGCCACGGCTGCAACACAGAGCCCCAGCAGGAGGCGCACCCCAGCTGAACACGTCACCGTCGCCGCCTGGCTCAATGTACTCCTTGAGCTCAGCCGACAGCAGGTCCAGAGGGCTGCGGCCGCGCCAGTCGGGCAGGCCCAGGCTGGCATTGGCCTGCAGCAGGGCTGCAGCGATGCGCAGCTGGCCCCAGTGCAGCGCGCGGTGCAGCGCCGACCAGCCGCTTTCGCTGTCCTGCATGTCTGGGTCGGCCCCTGCCTCCAGCAGCGCCTGCACCAGTCCCGCGTGGTTGCGCCACACCTACAGGTGGCAGGAACGGGGGTGGCGACGCAAGGTGGGGCTGACGGATGCGCGACTCCAGCCGCCGCCTCAGCTGCCAAGGTTCAAAGCAAGGGCCGCAGCGAGGACTCACAGCGAGACCCAGCGAGTTGACGCCAGTGGGGCCCAGCCTGCAAGACGTTGGGCAGGTTTTGAAGATGCGGGGTTTGAAACGTTGCCTGGCGGCACCCGAACGGGGCGGGGTGGGGGCCGGCAGTTGCCAGCAGGTGACCCAGTTGCGGTTGCCCGCTGGGCGGCCACCAGTAAGCTCCCTAGCCGAGGTTTCACCGAAACCACGCACTTGTTGACCTCCGCCTGGACGTGGGGCGCTGCCAGGAGAGACTGGACCGGGGCCTCGTCTTGGCAGTGCCGCACCGCGGCCAGCAGGCTCTCCGCCATCCTGGAATTTGTAGAGACGGCCCTCAGACCCGCACCGCCTCCATGGCTGGCTGGAGCTCACGCCAGCGGGTGACCTTCAACCCAGCGGGCCTCTTCAACGCCTGCTGCGCTGTTGGACGATGCCAGGCGCACGAAGTAGCGGCAGAGTTGCAAGGATTCGAGCGGTGGGCGGTCCACAAGTCCAGGTCGCAGAGCTGTGGGCAGCACGGCACAGCAGCAGGAGCTCCCACGTCCATTTCCCCTTCCCTCGCCCTGTCTGCTTTGAGGCAGGGGCGACTGATTCATCGGGACCTTATTCCAGCCGAGAAGCAGCCCCCATCCACGCGCCCTGCCAGAAGACTCTACGGTGGAGCTGCAGGAGTTTCCGGCTGATCCCCTGTTGGGCGGCGGCATGGCGGCCCAGGTGAGCGACGCGACACGCTGCGCGTTTTGACGGATCGCCTCGCCTGCTTGCGGCAGCAGCCCAGCCACTCCTCTCCCGCACTGACCAAGCGGTCCGGCTGACCCTGAGCGCGCTTGCAGGGCGGGCGGGAGCTGGGGCGGTTGCCAGGCAGCGCAAACGGCAGTGGCGACGCGGCGGCGGCGGCCACCGCCGAGCTCAAGGGCATCCAATTCCGTGCCGTCACCGCCTTCAACCGCCTGCGCGATGATGTGGGGCGGCTGGGCACGGCAGCCGACACGCCAGACCTGCGCCGGCGCATCGCAGAGAGCGGCCAGAAGTTTAAGGGGCTCGCCCAGGAGTTTCGGCAAAAAGTGGCGGCGCACCCGGCCCGTGACAGCAGCGCAGCCCAGAAGCTGCTCCGCGACTTCCAGAGCTTGCTGAAGAGCTCCGAGCGGCTGATGGAGACGGCCAAGGCCAAGGAGGCAGCCAGCCTGCCGCGGCAGCCGGCCGGGGCAGGCGGCGTTGCGGCGGCGGCGGCGGCGGCGGCGCAGCAGCAGGAGGTGTTGGCAGGGAGCCGCGAGGCGGTGGAGCGGCAGGCGCTGCTGGAGGCGCAGCGCAAGCAGGAGCTGCTGAGCATTGAGAACCGGCTGCAGTTCAACGAGGCGGTGATTGAGGAGCGGGACCAGGCCATCACGCAGATCGCGGGCCAGATTGGCGAGGTGCGTGCACCTGCTTGGCTGGCTGCAAGGGGTGCCGACTGATTTGGGGCGCGCTGCGCCTGGAGGGGCCAGTGCTGCCGCTGCTGCGTGCAAGCTGCTTGCTGGCGCAGCCTGGCCGGGTGCCGGCTTGGCTGAGGAACGCCCCAGCCTTGGCAATGGTTGCCTTGCCCTCGTGATGCCTCACCGCTGCTTGCGGGCCTGCTTGCCCCTGGCGCAGGTGCACCAGATCTTCCAGGACCTGGCTGTGCTGGTGAACGACCAGGGGGAGCAGCTGGAGGACATTGAGGCCAACATCACGCGGGCGGGGGAGCGCGCTGCCGACGCCACGGTCCAGATTGCGCGCGCGGAGCGCAGCCAGCGCGCTGCCCGCTCCAAGTGGTGCTTCCTGCTGGCCATCACAGCCGTGGTGCTCTTCATCCTCATCCTCATCATCCTGGCGTGAGACCTGCTGCTGTACCGACAGCTGTACCGCTGCCATGCGGACACCAGACCCCTGTAGCATTATCACACCACCTGCACCGCGCATGCCTCCACCCCTGTTCCTGCAATACCTACCAATGAACCTTGCCTCTGCTGCTCGTTGCACCGACCGTGCACCTCTCCTGCTCCCGATTCATTTGCTGCCAACGTCTTGCTTCCCACTGAATCTGCTTTACATGTCTCTCTTCTGGTGTAAACAATGAGAACCCTGGCCGCTGGGTGTCACTCTGCCGGGCTGCTGCCGTCGCTGCCAAGCGCATCGGCCGCGCCCGTCGCTGACTGCCCGCGGGGCCGTGTCCGCCGCCGCTCCCGCCGCCCACGGTTCTCCTTCCTCGCCCGCCGCTGATTGGACGGCGCCACCAGCTCAAGCAGCCCTTCAGGCGGCGTCACCTCCATGCGCCGCGCCGCCAGATCCACCACCGGCACCATGGCCTTGGCAAACGGCAGCAGCACGTGGCGGGGCACGGCAGCGCCTCCCTCCGCCTCTGCCTCTGCTGCCTCCGCCTCCTCGACATCATCATCTCTGCTGCTCTGCAGGGCCGCTGCTGCCGCCAGCCGCTCCAGCAGGCTGGGCGCCAGCTGGATGCGCAGCACGTCGTGGGTGCCGGTGCCGTCAAACACGTCCGACACGAGGCCCACCTCCTCCCCGGTGGCCTGCAGGAACACTCGCAGCCCCACCAGGTCCTGCAGCACAGCCAGGCATGGTGCGGGCATGTTGGATGAGTGTTTCAGAATGCGCCAGTGTACGTGCAGGGCTGGGCAGACCTGCCACACCTATCAGATGCACACCACCACCGGCGCACCTGCACATAAAACTCGTCCTCATCCTCCAGAGACTGCCGCGCGCTGGCGGGGATGAGCAGTGTGTGGCCCCGCAGCAGCGCCGCCTCCTCAGGGCTCTCCACTTCTGCAAGCTTCACCAGCCACACCTGCAGCGCCCAGGGGGATGGCGAGCGCTGGGCGAGCCAGCAGCTGCAAAATCGCGAGAGCGTGACCCAGGCACGGCTGCAACTAGCAGCCCACCACATACAGCACGCACCTCATTCCCCTTGCTGATCATGCTGCGGCCCCACTCCAGCTCCACCTCCTCAGGTGGCGGCGCCTGCCGCCTCCCAATCTTGGGCGCCGGCGCTTGCAGCCACCTTCAGCCGGTTGGAAAATGACGTCAAGCGTGTGGGCCAACCAGAAATACAGTGCGGTTTGCACTGGTGTAGCATGCAGTGATTGATGTCTCTGGTCTCGGTGGTTTGCTCCTTACTGCCCGGTTTGAGAAAGAAGCAGCACAGCAGGGATGATGTGCTCTCATACAAACACACACACGCGCACCTGGGCCCAGCCGTGGCTAGGCGGTCTTCGGGGAAGTCTGTCAGCGCCTGCACCTTCATCTCTCCCCGCACCCCATGCGGAGGCCCAATCCTGCCCACCTCAACCCATTCATCTGCGTCACCAGGCTGCCCAATCATGGCATCTACCGCTGCTCCCGCAGCCTCGTCTTGCTGCTGATGGTCAGCCACTGCTTTTGCCGCCACCCCCCGCCACCCCGCTGCCGCTGCTGCACCAGCCCTCGCCGCTGCTGTGCATGGAAGCAGACGGTTGCGTAGGCCGTTTGTCGGCGGTGGCTGCCTGGCCTGAGGGCGGCCGCTGGTGGTGGCGGGGCCAGCATGGGCGGCCGCCAGGCTCACATGCATGGCGCCAGACAAGGGCTCGTGAGTGCTGTTAGCGGCTGAAGGTGCGATCTCGAGCGGCAAAGCATACAATGCTTGAGGAAGACGCCCTTCCATGCGCCACCTGTGCCGTGCTGTCCTGTGCCGCGTCCCATTGCCGTTTACAAATGCCTATACTCTACATCGGTCTTCCACCATCCAATTTAGGCAGCCAGAGGAGCACGCAAGTGTGGCCATGGCCAGCACCAGCTACAAAGTCCTCCCTGTGAGGCTGCTTGGCCCTGGCCCGGCCACTGTCAGATATCTCTACATCAAGCCGCACACGGGGGAAGACAGCCTGCCCAAGGACCGCGCAGTCTACATCGCTGGCGTGCCGGCCCAGCTGCAGGGCACTGCCCTGGTGGAGCTGTTTGCTAGATATGGCACCATCGAGCGAGCGGCGCTGCATGGCAGCAGAGTGTCGGCGGTGCTGCTGTATGCGGCGGCGGAGGGGCGGGACAAGCTGCTCAAGGCGGCCGCCAAGGGGCGGCCCTTAGAACTGCAGCTGCAGGAGCCCACAGGGCCCTACGGACTAAAAGGCGAGGCGGGGGGGGAGCCGGGGCTGCCTTGGGCTGGGGATGAGTACAGGCATTCACGCCAAAGCCATCCGGATGGCAAGCTCACACGTGCACGAGCCAGCTGGCTCCCTTCCCATTGCTGTTGCAGGCTGGGTGGAGGAGCACAAGGCGCTGAAGCCTGGCAATGCAGAGCTGCAGCAGGCACTGGACGAATGGATGGAGGAGTGGGAGGCGGAGGAGGAGCGGCGGCGGGCAGAGGCGGTCAAGGCGCAGGAGGAGGATGGCTGGACGGTGGTGCAGCGGCACAAGGCGAGTGTCAGACCTGCCAGTGGAGGGCTCTCCCCTGCCTCACGGCTGGTGCAATTGAGGCACTGAAGCAGGCCTGTGCTGCCGAGCCCTGGCAGTCAGGCCAGCATTTGCACCTCATGGTTTTGCTGCTTCGTGCATGGCAGGGGTGCACATTTCATCGGGCATTGAACACACGTGTTTGCTGCTTGCTGTTGCAGGGGCGCAAGAAGAATGCCAGCGCCACTGGCGTGACGGTGGGAGGTGTGGCAGGTGCGGCGGCGGCGGCGCAGCTGCAGGCGGCGACCAAGAAGGACGCCACACACGCCGACTTCTACCGCTTCCAGCAGCGAGAGCACCGGAGGAACGGTGGGTGTGCGTGCGGGCTGGGCCATTCTGTTTGTTGGAATTTGTTGGGGCATCTGCTGTTGTTGCACAGCAGTGATGGAGCCTGCCCTCATGGCAAGAAGCCTCATCTCCGCGCTGTCACTGCCTGCAGAGCTGCTAAACCTGAGACAACGGTTCGAGGAAGACAAGAAGCGGATTGCGGAACTCCGAGCGTCAAGAAAGTGGCGGCCCTACTAGTGGAGCAGCATCCATGCCATCAGCGCATGCACATTCATGACAGTGTGCATGCGGGCATGTGTAAGGCCAAACTGCAATGCCTCCCACTGTCAGCGGCGGTTGGTGGGTCGTGGCCCAGACGCAGTCGCTGCCGCTTAGAGCCGCTGTCTGACTGAATGACTCTGTCGGTCAGATTCATAGCCTGCAGCGGCCCCGGCTGAGCCTTCACTGCGCCCTGCCACCAGACGGCGCCTGGCTTGGCGCAGCCATAACGTGGCAGGCTGTACACTGCAGGCCTGCGCAAATTATGCACAACCTGCAGATTATGGGGCATGCTGAGGCATCCACTGGAAAAAAAACCACCTGACACGGCCTCCAATGGCTCATCGAGCCGCTCAATTTAGGCACTGCGCCCGCTGCGCGGCCTGCTCTGCCCCGTCAGCGCCGCCGCCCTCTGTAGGCCACCGCGTTGCCGCATGCGTCTTATCCAATTACCTCTCGGACTCAGGAAGCAGCCTCCAACGGCATTCCCAGAACAGAGCGCGCACAAATGAACACGAAGAGCCAACGCACGGGCGGCAACTCTAAGCTGCGCTTCGGTCCTGACGTCACGGCGGGCCGGCGTCCCAGTCCAGCACGGGCTGCCCGAGGTGAGACCCGGCCTGGTTTGTGCGTCGGGGCAAAAGCGGCCCATTAACAGATCGACAACCGCGTAGCCTGGCCTCGCGTTGGCAGGTCTTGTGTCTGAGGAGCGCTGGCCGCGTTACAGGGAGCGCGCTCCACCGACCTGCGGCGGTGGCGGCGGCATGCATGCCCTCGCCATCGGGTGATGGGTATTGCTGGTGACCGCCCGCCTCCTGCCACGCGCCCTCTGCCTGCAGGAGCACTGGCGGCGGCCCTGCGCCACGCAGGGGACAAGCTGGCCGCCATGCACATGCGCATGCGAGGCGACACCGAGACCACAGACCCGGTGCCGCGGGAGCGGCTGGTGGAGGCTTGGCGGCAGCTGGCACAGGCCGACTCGTTGGCGGCAGACACATACCGAGAGCACCTGTGCTACCAGACGCTGGCTTCCTGGCCACGCCTGTCCTTCAGCGACCGCGTGCTTCTGTTCGATGCGTGGTGAGACCGGAGTCGCTGCAGGGCAGCACTGGGTGACCGCTGGAGCGGCCGGTGTGCTCTCACCTCCCACGCACGCTCCGGTGCTTGCAGGGGCTTCACGGCGCAGCGCTTCCCTTCCTTCTTCGTCCTGCCCCGCCCTCTGCTGCGCGCGGTGAGCAGCTCCATGTGGCGGGACGGGGCGGCTGCATCTGTCCAGGAGCTCAACCTGGTGGCCGTCCGCACCGGCCCCTTCTTCAAGGTTACGCAGGGGCGCATGGCGGACCTGGCTCGGTCCATCCTGGATGCAGGTGGGTGGCCCTGCCGGCCAGTCCCGGCCTGCCCCCTGCCTCGTCGTTCGCTACCACAGCCACTGCCACTCACTCTGTTCCTCCTCGGTCGCCGGTTGGGCCTGCCGCAGTCATCCACCACGCCGCGGCCCACGTTGAGGGGGACTACAAGGCAGCGGCGGGTATGGGCCCCTGCCTGAGCATGGCCGCCTGGGCCAGCCGCTGCGACGCCACCCAGCGCGAGCTGCACGCCATCCGCGAGGCGGCCAGCGATGCGCGGTCGCCGCTGGAGGAGGCCATCTACCAGCAGATTGCCCTCGTCAAGTGCTCCTGCCGCTGCGACAGCATCACGGGTGAGGCACGGGGCGGCCTGGCGGCGGCGGCGGTGCCTGGGCATCTCCCTGTTATTTGTTGAATATTGGTGGCTGTAGGTGCTTGTGTAAGTGCTTGGTGCAGCTGGGGCCCCGCATGGCACCACAGCTCCCTATGCTCCAACCTGCCCTGCCTGCTTGCTTTTTGTGCCGCAGCACAGAGCCGCGTGGCGGCGGCGCTGGCGCGCGACTCACTGCAGCACGGCGGCGACATCAGGACTAGCTTCATCAAGGCGTTCGGCCACGCCCCTGAGAGCGCGGAGGAGCATCTGGCGTCCACGGAGCAGGCCCTGGAGGAGTGGCGGATCCAGACGGCGGCCCGCCAGCTGCAGGCGGCGGCGGCGGCCCCCGAGGATGGCGCGGTGGAGGCCAGCGCCCTGTCCATGTACACAGTGCACTCGGATGGCCGCTCGCAGGCTGCAGGGCCGTCGCCCTGACCCGCGCCTCCCTCGGGATGCCAGCGTTTGTGGCCAAATGACAGCGCGTGACGCCAGCGAAATGCTGGAAATTATGTGTCTCACAATGTGCTCGACAGATGATCAGGAAAGCCAATACGCAAAGAATGAGCAGTGTTTAGGAGTAACATACATGATTTAGGTAGCAAACTACACTTTGTAAGACTCAAAGGCCATGCTGGCCACCGTTGACAGCGCGCTGACCAGCCGGGGCATGCCTGGGATCGTCGACTGCCGCTGCATCTCGTCTGCCTCCCCCTGTTCCTCCTCGCAATGGTAGCCATCCAGGTCCCCCGGTGCGGTTCCAGGCCGTGCTCCTGGTACCGAGCTCACCACCACGACTTGGGGTGCCGCTGCCAGAGTTGCAGCATCTTCTTGCTTGTCTGCCGCACTGCGCTGGATGTAGCGCCGCAGCGAGGCATGCCTGATTGCCAACGGCCTAACCAGAAGCTCGCGCACAGCGGGGTTTGCGGCCAGCAACGCCACGGCTTCGGCGCCGCCGCTGCAGGCCAGCGAAGCGGGAGGCACCAGGCCCAAGTTCGGCATGCATGCCGTTGTGCAGCTCCCAGGACAGCACTGCTGCACCTAGACAGCAGGCCCAGCCGCAGGCAGGGGCCCAGTCAGCCCAACTGCGCCTCCCCGTCGCACCTGAGCCCCTTGCCCTCATGCTGGCTGCGCAGGATGGCAGCAAATGACTGGTTGTATGACAGCAGCAGGTGCTGCGAGATGCTCGCGCGGTACGAGCTGCGCTGCACGTTGCTCTCCAGGAAGCCTGCACGTTGCCAGCGGCGGTGGCACCAGGAGGGTGAGTGGGTGTGTGCACAGGCAAATGCGGGGGGGTGGATGTGCCCAGGGCAGCACTGGCTCACGCACTTGGGTTGACTATCAGGTCTCCCCGCGGATTTACAATGCACACGTGGCCGGGGCGCTTGAACAGCACCAGAAACTTTGCCGACTTGGCCACTGCGGGGGTGTGGGGTGAGGCAGGTAGTAGGTAGGTGGTTGGTCAGGTGGGGTGCCGGCAGGCGGGCACTGTTGGTCAAGTTCATGCGCGCCCCTCGCACCCCAGGCTGCATTCCGCCCCAGGCCCCAGCCGCCCTCAGTGGCGCCCACCGAGGTCCTGGTCGTTGATGACAGCCCAGGAGTCGGGCACCATGCGTTTCAGCTCTGCCGCAAACGCGTGGTTGCCTGTGCGAGGCGCGCCAAAGGTGTAGCACTGCACGGCTACCAGTGTAGGCGCCGCGGCTGCCCTGCCGCTGCTGGCCAAGGCATCGGCGGCGGCGCCCTCCTCTCCTGCCTGCCCCCCTGCTGCTGCTGCTGCTGGAGACAGTACTGCCTCGCTGAAGGTTGCTGAGCTGGCAGGGCTCACCACGGTGGTGTGGCCCCACTCGGGCAGCAGCCTGGCGAGGTCGTGGGCGCACAGCGTGCCCACGGCGCCTCCCAGGGAATGCCCTGTGATCAGCACCCGGAAGGGGGTCTGCCGGCTGCCGCTGCAACTGCCACCAGCTGCCAGCGCACTGCCAGACGGGCCTGCTGGGGAGGCGCCGTTGTCGGGCTGCACTGCTGCGCCGTTGCTGGTGTTGTCCCTGCCGGCACCCCCACCTACTGCAGAGAGCAGGGCTGCCGCCGCCTCCTGGCCGCCCTGCATCACCGCTGACACCACCGCCGCTGCCGCCTCCTCGTCTACAGGCAGCACCGCGGTGGCCGCTGCGGCAGCAGTTGCCAATGCCTTGTGGTTCAGACATTCCCACTCTTCGCTGCCTCCGCTGGCGCTGCCGCCGAGGTCGCCGCCACCCCCTTCCCCGTAGCCAGCCATCCCAGACGCGGCAGCCTCGGAAGCCCGTGCCGCCGCCGCGGCAGCCTCCAGCTCCGCCCCACGCTCCTCGTGCTCCTGGCTGCAGCAGCGCACAACCGTGGTACCAAAGGGCTCCATGGCGGCGTGCTGCCGCCCCTCCAGCACCTGCCGCACCCGCTGCAAAACCTGCTGGTTCAGCCCATGGTCGACCCAGGAGGCCAAAAAGCCGGTGTGGATCAGCGGCCTGCTTCCCAGCATGACCACGCCGCGCTGGGGCGGATGCGGCGAGCGCCAAAACTGCAGGCGGCGGCAAGCGGACGAGTGTGGGCCATGCAGCGGCAGGAGGACAGGGTGGGCCATGCAAAGGAGCCTGCACGCAGGCAGCCACCAGCAGCACCAACCTTGGCGTCGGCCTTAATGTTGGCCAGCGACTGCGTGCCACGGAAGGCGATGACCAGAGTGTCGGGGCCCCAGCACAGCAGGCAGTTCATGTCGAGCTGCGGCTCCCGCAGCCACTCATAGTGCATGCAGCCATACAGCGCAAGGGCTGTTTGCAGCGAGGAGACTGTGCTCTCAGGCTGCAGACCAATTGTGCAAGGTGTGGGAGGGCATTTGCTCCAGGGGAGACAGGCAGCCACCATCCAAGCAGGGTGGTGCCCTGTTTGGAGCGCAACTCACCCTAAAGTGTCTGTAGGAATGGAGGCAGAAGTAACAGGCCTTTAGGGCGGTTTCAAAGCAGAACAGGGGCTCCGATGGGTGCCCCCGCTTGGCCAGCACGGCCGGGGCGCCCGCCTCTGTCCATGAAAACTGCTGCAGCGAGGAGTGGAGCTTGACGGCGGCTTGCTGTGGAGGGCTGGGGCTGTAGAGCAAGGCCTCCGCCAGCAAAAGCGTCGTCATGGCAATGTACATCGGGCCGATGCCAAGCCAGAGCTCTATGTTGGCATTGCAGTTGTCGATATTGATATAGTAGATCAACGAAATACTTGCGATGAAGAAGACGCAGGTTGAGATGCGGGTGCGCATGGTGAGGCGCGCAGCCACATTCATGACCCTGCATGGCAGGAGCAGGAGCCCACACGCAAGCAAGCAAGGACGTGTAAACACAAGTGTTACACACCTGTTTTAATGATGCAGGGTCATTAACACAGCACGCGCAAACCAGACCCGCAAACGACGCACCTGTAGGGCGCATATGGCAGGCGCTTGTACTCAGATAGAACAAGCATCATCAAAACCAAAAACACAAGCACTTGAAGAATGACGCTGCAGAGGCACTGGCATGCAGGTGTTATGGACAGGAGACGGCATGACAAGAGGTATGCTGGAGGCAGGCAGGCACACGGGCGGTCAGACGCACATCCCTCCGACAACGAGTGCCATCACAGCATAGGGTCCCTGCATGGTGCAGTCCCTGGAAGCAGAAACAGAGCAACCGTCTGTGAGTGTCCCTGCCACAGCTGGCCACAGAATTGCTTGCACTCAGCAGGGCACGCACACACCACACACCCGTGCAAATAGGCCTGCTCCCTGCAATCACTAGCGCCAGGCTGCACATTGATTGTCCGGTAGTCCTGTGCACCTGCAAGCACAAGCACGCACATGCTGGTGGGGGAGGCGGGTGCGGGATGCGCTGGCGGCGGCAGCATGCCCCAGCTCATGCGCTCACCAAAGACTCCCAGTGTGCCCATGGTGGTGAGGAGTGTCAAAACCTCCATAGGAACAAACAGCAGGACAAAAGCCACCAGGTGCACCCACACCGCCATCTGCACATCCAGCTTGCGCGCTGCAATGAGCAGGCCAGCCGCGCAGGATCAGCAGCTCTGACAATGGGCGCATGTGCACAGCTGAATAATTTTGTTGGGGTGTATCAGGCCGGGGGCAAGCAGCAAGGAGCGGCAAATTTGTGACGCCTCGGCATGCAGCTTGCTTGCCTGGGAGGTCAAGTGTGATGGGCGTTGGGTGCGTGCCTAGCATGTCTTCTCCCTCTTGCTGCTGCCGCTGCTTCCCAGTTGGGTGCATTGTGCTGGTGCCGCTATCACTGCTGCCGCAACGCCAGATGCGGCACCGCCGCTGGGCCCACCAGCGACGCAGGCGCTGGTGCAGGCGCTGCCAGGAGCCGGAGGGCAGCAGGAGGAGCGGACGGCTGACATTGAGGAACAGCACTGCAGCCAGCGATGTGAGCAAGCAACGCCTGGTCTCAAAACATCCCACACAAGCAAAGGAGCAGGCAAAGCAATGAGCCGTAGCAGCTTCCTCACGGGTGTCCCAACAGGTCCATGAGGCGAGGCTCAAAACCACTGCTGCAGGGTCGAACCAGCCGCACGGCTTCTGCAGCGGCATCGGCGGCCCAGCACCAGCCAGGATGAGGTTGGGCCTGTGCAATGCAGTACCAGCACAGTACCAGCACATGGCAGCGGCAGACAACGCGTGCAGTGGTGTCTGTCCCGCCCGTGCCCATTCCCCGCTTGTGGCAACATTTTGCAGCGGCGCACCACGTAGCTGTACACGTTCATCGCCAGGAAAGCTGCCAGGTTGATGAGCTGGATCAGGATCTCCGCCCCCGTCGTGACGAGGAGGTACTTGCGCCTGAAGCCCCACACGGTGCCCGCTCGCCAGGCCTCCAGAATGCGACTGCCAAACCATACCGCCACGCCAAGCAGCAGCGCCAGGCACACACTGGCCATGCAGATGTTGCTCGTCTCCAGCAACACGCCGCGCAGCAGAGAGTTGCTGTCGCTGGTCTCCCTGCACTTGCAAATATTGGGGGGGGGGGGGGGGGGGGGGGCTT